CTGAAGCAGGAGTAGAAGTTGATATTGTCACTGCTGATGTAATTGTGGAAGTTGATGCTGTCTTAACTGAATCTGCATCAGGAGTTGATACTCTCTTGAATGAAGTTGCAGATGAAGTTGCCTTTGAGGAAATTGTTACTGCTGTAATTGAAACTGTAAAAGTGGATAAAGGTGATACTGGCACAACTGAAGAGATTTTTGATAAAGGTGATACTGGCACAACTGAAGAGATTTTTGATGATGTTGATACCTTTTTTGCTAAACTTGAAAGTGTTTCAGCTGAAGTTCTTGCTGATATTAATACTGCCTCACCTGAAGCTGAACCTGAAATCACAGTTGTTTCACCTGAAGATATCTTAGCTGAAGCTTTAGTTGATGATGTAATTGAGAAACTTGATACTGTCACATCTGGAACTAATGTTGAAGTTCATATTTTCTCAGCTGATGCTTCTGTAGGGAAAACTAATATTGTCTCAGTTGAACCTGCTGTTAGAGAAGCTGATGTTTCCAAAGATGAAGTTTCTGTTGAGATTAAAATTGCCTCGGCTAAAGTTGATACTATTTCAGACAAAGTTAGAGTTGAATTTGATCAAATCTCACCTGAAACTGAGGTTGAGGAAGCTGATACTGTCACAGTTGAAGCTGTTGTTAATGAAGCTAATATAGGCCCAGCAGGTACTGAAGTTGAGGAAGTTAAGGAGGAAATTCCCACATCTGTCTTTGACCTTGAGATGCTTGATACAACTACAACTAAAGCTGCTGTTCATGGAATTGATGCTGACATAACTAAAGCAGCTCTTAAAGTTGATACTGACACAGCTAAACCTTTTATTGAGGAACTTGCTGCTGTCTCAACAGAAATTGTAATTGAGCAGGTTGATGCAATCTCAATGGAAGTTGCAGTTGCAGATGATACTATCTCAGCTGAAACTACTGTACAGGGAGCTGAGATAATAACTGCTGAAGCTGCAGTTGAAGTTTTAACTGGAACTGTGATCAAGTCAACTGCTGATACGGTCTTAGGTCAATCTGCTGCTGTCAAAGGTGATTCTACATTTGATACTGTTGCTGTTAAAACTGTAATTGAAAAGGATATTGTCTCAACTGACACTGCAGGTGAGGTAGTTGGTGCTGTCACAGTTGAAACTGCAATTGAGGGAGCTGATGCTGTCTTAACTGAAGCTATCACCGAATCTGATACTGAGACAACTGTTGAAGGACTTGATACTGTCTCAACTGAAGCTGTAGTTGATGTAGTAGAAGAGCCTAATGCTGTCCCAGTAAAAGTTGAGGGAGTTATTACTGTGTCGGATAAAAATGCTGTTGAGGAAACTGATACTATCACAGCTGAAGCAGCAGTTGTTGAGGTTGAAATTTTAACAAATAAATCTTCTGTTGAGGAAGCTGATACTGTCATTGTTGAAACTATAGCTGAAGATAATACAGTGACAGCAGAAACTGCAGTAAAGGTAGTTGATGTTGCATTAGAGGAAAATAACATATTTAAAACTGAAGCTGTTAGAGTTAATGTAATTGATGCTGTCACAGCTGAAATTGCGGTTGAGTTTGACTCTGTCAGAGAAATTCAAACTATCACTGAAACTACAGTTAAGGAAATTGACAATGTCATAACTGAAATTGCTGTTGAGGAAGTCGATATCTCAGCTGAAGTGACTGTTCAAGAAGTTTATACAACTGAAGGTGATGTTGAGGAAATTTGTACTATCAGTGCTGAAGCTGCAGTAAAGGAAGATGCAGTTTCAGCCAAAGCTGCATTACAGGAAAAAGACACTGTCTCAGCAGAAGCTACAGTTGATGTTAATAGTATCTCAGTTGAAGCTGAAGTTGAAGTTCATGCTGTTTCATATGAAACAGCATTTGAGGAAGTTCTTACAGTCTCAGATGAAGCTTTAATGAAAACTGATACTGCCTCAGCTGAAACTGCAGTTGAAGTTGATAGTATTTCAGCTGAAGCTGCAGTTGAAGAAGTTGATACTGTCACAGTAACTGTGACAGCAGATGTAGGTGATAGCTCAGAAGCTGCAGTTGAGGAAGTTGTTACTGTCTCAGCTGATGTAATTGAACTTGATACTATCTCAACTGAAGTGTGTGAGGCAGTTGACAAGGCCTCAGCAGAAGCTGTAGCTGTAGTCTCAGGTGGCCCTGAAGTTAAGGAAATTGAAACTATTACAGCTGAATATGTATTTGTGGATACTGACATTGGTTTACCTGAAGCTCCAGATACTGTTAAAGGTCATACTATCCTTGTAGAAGCTGCATTTGAGGAAGCTGATACTATATCGCCTGAAGCTGCAATTGAGGAGGTTGATACTATCTCTCCTGAAACTGCAATTGAGGAGGTTGATTCTGTCTCAGATGAAGTCATGACTACACGTACTGTTGATGCTATCACAGCTGAAGTTACAGTAAAGGAAGTTGGTACTGTCATAGCTGAAGGTGCAGTTGAAGTTGGTACTGTCATAGCTGAAGGTACAGTTGAGGAAGTTGATACTGTCATAGCTGAAGGTACAGTTGAGGAAGTTGATACTGTCATAGCTGAAGGTACAGTTGAGGAAGTTGATACTATCACGGCTGAAGCTGCAGTTGAAGACAATATTGTCTCAGATGAAGTTGCAGAAGTTGATACTTCAGATAAAGTTTCTGTGGAGGAAGTTGATACTGTCACAGCTGATATTGCATTTGAGGAAGTTGATACTGTCTCAGATGATGTTGCAGTGAAGGAAATTGAAAATGTCACAGATAAAACTGATATTGAAGAAGCTGATTCTGTCTTAGATAAATTTGCTGTTGAGGTAGTTGATACTGTCATAGCTGAAGTTAGATTTGAGGAAGTTGGTACTGTCTCTGATAAAGTTGCAGTTGAGGAAGTTGAAACTGTCACAGGTGGAACTGAGGAAGTTGATTCTGTCTCAGATGAAATTGTTGAAGTTAATAATGTCTCAGATATAGTTCCTAAGGAGGAAGTTAACACTGTCACAGGTGAAGTTTCAAGTGAGGAAGTTGACACTGTCACAGTAGCAGGTGTTGTTGAAGATGGCATTATCTCATTAGAAGTTGCAGTTGATACTGTCTCACATGAAGATGCAGTCAAGGAGGTTGATGAAGTTGTTAAGGGATTTGATACTGTCTCATTAGAAGTTGGAGTTGAAGATGATACTTCTTCAGCTGAAATTGCAGTTGAAGTTGATACTGTCTCAGATGAAGTTGTTGTTGAGAGAGTTGATGCTATCACAGTTGAAGAAGTTTATACTGTCTTAGATGAAGTTGCAGTTGAGGAAGTTGATACTGTCACAGGTGAAGTTGATGTTGAGGAAATTGATATTGTCACAGATGAAGTTGTAGAAGTCAATACTGTCTCAGATATAGTTACTGGTGAGAAAGATGATACTGTCACAGCTGAAGTTTCAGTTCGAATTGATACTGCCACAGTAACAGGTGCTGTTGATATTATCTCATTAGAAGCTGAAGATGCTATTGAAGTTGATACTGTCCCAGCTGTAGATGCTATTGAAGTTTATACTGATTCAGCTGAAGATGTTATTAAGGTTGATACTGTCTCAGCTGAAGTTGATATTGAAGTTAATTCTGTCTCAGCTGAAGATGTTATTAAGGTTGATACTGTCTCAGCTGAAGTTGATATTGAAGTTAATTCTGTCTCACCTGAAGATGTTATTAAGGTTGATACTGTCTCATCTGAAGATGTTATTGAAGTTGATACTGCCTCAGCTGAAGATGTTATTAAGGTTGATACTGTCTCAGCTGAAGATGTTATTAAGGTTGATACTGTCTTAGCTGAAGATGTTATTAAGGTTGATACTGTCTCAGCTGAAGATGTTATTGAAGTTGATACTGTCTCAGCTGAAGATACTATTGAAGTTGATACTGCCTCAGCTGAAGATATTATTAAGGTTGATACTGTCTCAGCTGAAGATGTTATTAAGGTTGATACTGTCTCATCTGAAGATGCTATTGAAGTTGATACTGTCACAGCTGAAGATGTTATTAAGGTTGATACTGTCTCAGCTGAAGATGTTATTAAGGTTGATACTGTCTCAGCTGAAGATGTTATTAAGGTTGATACTGTCTCAGCTGAAGATGTTATTAAGGTTGATACTGTCTCTGCTGAAGATGTTATTAAAGTTGATACTGTCTCATCTGAAGATGCTATTGAAGTTGATACTACTTCAGCTGAAGATGTTATTAAGGTTGATACTGTCTCAGCTGAAGATGTTATTGAAGTTGATACTGTCTCAGCTGAAGATGCTATTGAAGTTGATACTACTTCAGCTGAAGATGTTATTAAGGTTGATACTGTCTCAGCTGAAGATACTATTGAAGTTGATAAAGTCTCAGCTGAAGATGCTATTGAAGTTGATACTACTTCAGCTGAAGATGTTATTAAGGTTGATACTGTCTCAGCTGAAGATGTTATTAAGGTTGATACTGTCTCAGCTGAAGATGCTATTGATGTTGATACTGTCTCATCTGAAGATGCTATTGAAGTTGATACTGTCTCAGCTGAAGATGTTATTAAGGTTGATACTGTCTCAGCTGAAGATGTTATTAAGGTTGATACTGTCTCAGCTGAAGATGCTATTGAAGTTGATACTGTCTCAGCTGAAGATGCTATTGAAGTTGATACTGTCTCAGCTGAAGATGTTATTAAGGTTGATACTGTCTTAGCTGAAGATGCTATTGAAGTTGATACTTTCTCATCTGAAGATGTTATTAAGGTTGATACTGTCTCAGCTGAAGATGTTATTGAAGTTGATACTGTCTCATCTGAAGATGTTATTAAGGTTGATACTGTCTCATCTGAAGATGTTATTAAGGTTGATACTGTCTCAGCTGAAGATGCTATTGATGTTGATACTGTCTCATCTGAAGATGCTATTGAAGTTGATACTGTCTCAGCTATAGATGCTATTGAAGTTGACACTGTCTCAGCTGAAGATGCTATTGAAGTTGATACTGTCTCAGCTATAGATGCTATTGAAGTTGATACTGTCTCAGCTGAAGATGCTATTGAAGTTGATACTGTCTCAGCTGAAGATTCTGTTGAAGTTGATACTGTCTCAGCTGAAGATGCTATTGAAATTGATACTGTCTCAGCTGAAGATGTTATTAAGGTTGATACTGTCTTAGCTGAAGATGCTATTGAAGTTGATACTTTCTCATCTGAAGATGTTATTAAGGTTGATACTGTCTCAGCTGAAGATGTTATTGAAGTTGATACTGTTTCAGCTGAAGATGTTATTAAGGTTGATACTGTCTCATCTGAAGATGTTATTAAGGTTGATACTGTCTCAGCTGAAGATGTTCTAAAGGTTGATACTGTCTCAGCTGAAGATGTTATTAAGGTTGATACTGTCTCAGCTGAAGACGTTATTGAAGTTGATACTGTCTCAGCTGAAGATGTTACTAAAGTTGATACTGTCTCATCTGAAGATGCTATTGAAGTTGATACTACTTCGGCTGAAGATGTTATTAAGGTTGATACTCTCTCAGCTGAAGATGTTATTGAAGTTGATACTGTCTCAGCTGAAGATGTTATTAAAGTTGATACTGTCTTAGCTGAAGATGCTATTGAAGTTGATACTGTCTCATCTGAAGATGTTATTAAGGTTGATACTGTCTCAGCTGAAGATGTTATTGAAGTTGATACTGTCTCAGCTGAAGATTCTGTTGAAGTTGATACTGTCTCAGCTGAAGATTCTGTTGAAATTGATACTGTCTCAGCTGAAGATGCTATTGAAGTTGATACTGTCTCATCTGAAGATGCTATTGAAGTTAATACTGTCTCGGCTGAAGATGTTATTAAGGTTGATACTGACTCGGCTGTTGATTTTGTTGACGTTGATACAGTCTCAGCTGAAGATGCTATTAAGGTTGATATTGTCTCAGCTGAAGATGCTATTAAGGTTGATATTGTCTCAGCTGAAGATGCTATTAAGGTTGATATTGTCTCAGCTGAAGATGCTATTAAGGTTGATATTGTCTCAGCTGAAGATGCTATCAAAGTTCATACTTCCTCAGCTGAAGATGTTCGTAAGGTTGGTGCTGTCTCAGCTGTAGATATTAATGAAGTTGATACTGTCTCATCTAAAGATGCTATTTTAGTTAATACTATCTCAACTGAAGATGCTATTGAAATTGATACTGTCTCAGCTGAAGATGTTATTGAAGTTGATACTGTCTCATCTGAAGATGCTATTTTAGTTAATACTATCTCAGCTGAAGATGCTATTGAAATTGATACTTTCTCAGCTGAAGATGTTAATGAAGTTGATACTGTCTCATCTGAAGATGTTATTAAGGTTGATATTATCTCAGCTGAAGATGCTATTGAAATTGATACTGTCTCAGCTGAAGATGTTATTAAGGTTGATACTGTCTCATCTGAAGATGCTATTGAAGTTGATACTGTCTCAGCTGAAGATGCAATTGAAGTTGATACTATCTCAGCTGAAGATGATATTAAGGTTGATACTGTCTCAGCTGAAGATGCTATTGAAGTTCATACTGTCTCAGCTGAAGATGATATTAAGGTTGATACTGTCTCAGCTGAGGATGCTATTGAAGTTCATACTGTCTCAGCTGAATATGTTATTAAGGTTGATACTGTCTCAGCTGAAGATATTAATGAAGTTGATACTGTCTCAGCTGTAGAAGCTATTGAAGTTGAAACTGTCTCAGCTAAAGATGCTATTGAAGTTGATACTGTCTCATCTGAAATAGTTATTAAGGTTGATGCTGACTCAGCTAAAGATGTTGAAGTTGATACTGTCTCAGCTGAAGATGCTATTGAAGTTGATACTGTCTCAGCTGAAGATGCTATTGAAGTTGATACTGTCTCAGCTGAAGATGCTATTGAAGTTGATACTGTCTCAATTGAAGATGTTATTGAAGCTGAAGATGTTATTAAGGTTGATACTGTCTCAGCTGAAGATACTATTGAAGTTGATACTGTCTCATCTGAAGATGCTATTGAAGTTGATACTGTCTCAGCTGAAGATGCTATTGAAGTTGATACTGTCTCATCTGAAGATGCTATTGAAGTTGATACTGTCTCAGCTGAAGATGTTATTAAGGTTGATACTGTCTTAGCTGAAGATGTTATTAAGGTTGATACTGTCTCAGCTGAAGATGCTATTGAAGTTGATACTGTCTCAGCTGAAGATGCTATTGAAGTTGATACTACTTCAGCTGAAGATGTTATTAAGGTTGATACTGTCTCAGCTGAAGATGCCATTGAAGTTGATACTACTTCAGCTGAAGATGTTATTAAGGTTGATACTGTCACAGCTGTAGATGCTATTGAAGTTGATACTACTTCAGCTGAAGATGTTATTAAGGTTGATACTGTCTCAGCTGAAGATGCTATTGAAGTTGATACTGTCTCAGCTGAAGATGCTATTGAAGTTGATATTGTCTCAACTGAAGATGTTATTAAGGTTGATACTGTCTCAGCTGAAGATGCTATTGAAGTTGATATTGTCTCAACTGAAGATGTTATTAAAGTTGATACTGTCTCAGTTGAAGATGCTATTGAAGTTGATATTGTCTCAACTGAAGATGTTATTAAGGTTGATACTGTCTCAGTTGAAGATGCTATTGAAGTTGATATTGTCTCAGCTGAAGATATTATAAAGGTTGATACTGTCTCATCTGAAGATGTTATTAAGGTTGATACTGTCTCATCTGAAGATGTTATTAAGGTTGATACTGTCTCAGCTGAAGATGTTATTGAAGTTGATACTGTCTCAGCTGAAGATGTTATTAAGGTTGATACTGTCTCATCTGAAGATGCTATTGAAGTTGATACTGTCTCATCTGAAGATGTTATTAAGGTTGATACTGTCTCATCTGAAGATGTTATTAAGGTTGATACTGTCTCATCTGAAGATGTTATTAAGGTTGATACTGTCTCATCTGAAGATGTTATTAAGGTTGATACTGTCTCAGCTGAAGATGTTATTGAAGTTGATACTGTCTCAGCTGAAGATGATATTGAAGTTGATACTGTCTCAGCTGAGGATGCTATTGAAGTTGATACTGTCTCAGCTGAAGATACTATTAAGGTTGATACTGTCTTAGCTAAAGATGCAATTGAAGTTGATACTGTCTTAGCTGAATATGCTATTAAGGTTGATACTGTCTCAGCTGAAGATGTGATTGAAGTTGATACTGTCTCAACTAAAGTTGTTATTAAGGTTGATACTGTCTCAGCTGTAGATGCTATTGAAGTTGATACTGTCTCAGCTGAAGATGCTGTTGAAGTTGATACTGTCTCAGCTGAAGATGATATTAAGGTTGATACTGTCTCAACTGAAGATGTTATTAAGGTTGATACTGTCTCAGCTGAAGATATTATTGAAGTTGATACTGTCTCATCTGAAGATGCTATTGAAGTTGAAACTGTCTTAGTTGAAGATGCTATTAAGGTTGATACTGTCTCAGCTGAAGATGCTATTGAAGTTCATACTGTCACAGCTGAAGATGATATTAAGGTTGATACGGTCTCAACTGAGGATGCTATTGAAGTTGATACTGTCTCAGCTGAGGATGCTATTGAAGTTGATACTGTCTCAGCTGAAGATGTTATTAAGGTTGATACTGACTCAGCTGAAGATGTTATTGAAGTTGGTACTGTCTCAATTGAAGATGTTATTGAAGCTGATGTTATTAAGGTTGATACTGTCTCAGCTGAAGATACTATTGAAGTTGATACTGTCTCATCTGAAGATGCTATTGAAGTTGATACTGTCTCAGCTGAGGATGCTAATGAAGTTGATACTGTCTCAGCTGAAGATGTTATTAAGGTTGATACTGACTCAGCTGAAGATGTTATTGAAGTTGATACTGTCTCAATTGAAGATGTTATTGAAGCTGATGTTATGAAGGTTGATACTGTCTCAGCTGAAGATACTATTGAAGTTGATACTGTCTCATCTGAAGATGCTACTGAAGTTGATACTTTCTCATCTGAAGATGTTATTAAGGTTGATACTGTCTTAGCTGAAGATGTTATTAAGGTTGATAATGTCTTAGCTGAAGATGTTATTAAGGTTGATACTGTCTCAGCTGAAGATGTTATTAAGGTTGATACTGTCTCAGCTGAAGATGTTATTAAGGTTGATACTGTCTCAGCTGAAGATGTTATTAAGGTTGATACTGTCTCAGCTGAGGATGCTATTGAAGTTGATATTGTCTCAGCTGAAGATGTTATTAAGGTTGATACTGTCTTAGCTGAAGATGTTATTAAGGTTGATAATGTCTTAGCTGAAGATGTTATTAAGGTTGATACTGTCTCAGCTGAAGATGTTATTAAGGTTGATACTGTCTCAGCTGAGGATGCTATTGAAGTTGATACTGTCTCAGCTGAAGATGTTATTAAGGTTGATACTGTCTTAGCTGAAGATGTTATTAAGATTGATACTGTCTCAGCTGAAGATGCTATTGAAGTTGATACTGTCTCAGCTGAAGATGTTATTAAGGTTGATACTGTCTCAGCTGAAGATGCTATTGAAGTTGATACTGTCTCAGCTGAAGATGCTATTGAAGTTGATACTGTCTCAGCTGAAGATGCTATTGAAGTTGATACTGTCTCAGCTGAAGATGCTATTGAAGTTGATACTGTCTCATCTGAAGATGCTATTGAAGTTGATACTGTCTCATCTGAAGATGCTATTGAAGTTGATACTGTCTCATCTGAAGATGCTATTGAAGTTGATACTGTCTCATCTGAAGATGCTATTGAAGTTGATACTGTCTCATCTGAAGATGCTATTGAAGTTGATACTGTCTCAGCTGAAGATGCTATTGAAGTTGATACTGTCTCAGCTGAAGATGCTATTGAAGTTGATACTGTCTCAGCTGAAGATGTTATTAAGGTTGATACTGTCTTAGCTGAAGATGTTATTAAGGTTGATACTGTCTCAGCTGAAGATGTTATTGAAGTTGATACTGTCTCTATTGAAGATGTTATTAAGGTTGATACTGTCTCAGCTGAAGATGCTATTGAAGTTGATACTGTCTCAGCTGTAGATGCTATTGAAGTTGAAACTGTATCAGCTGAAGATGTTATTGAAGTTGATACTGTCTCAGTTGAAGATGCTATTGAAGCTGTATCAGCTGTAGATGTTATTAAGGTTGATACTGTCTCAGCTGAAGATGTTATGAAGGTTGATACTGTCTTAGCTGAAGATGCTATTGAAGTTGATACTGTCTCAGCTGAAGATGTTATGAAGGTTGATACTGTCTCAGCTGAAGATGTTATTGAAGTTGATACTGTCTCAGCTGAAGATGTTATTAAGGTTGATACTGTCTCAGCTGAAGATGTTATGAAGGTTGATACTGTCTCAGCTGAAGATGTTATTAAGGTTGATACTGTCTCATCTGAAGATGTTATTGAAGTTGATATTGTCTCAGCTGAAGATGTTATTGAAGTTGATACTGTCTCAGCTGAATATGTTATGAAGGTTGATACTGTCTCAGCTGTAGATGCTATTGAAGTTGATACTGTCTCATCTGAAGATGCTATTGAAGTTGATACTGTCTCAGTTGAAGATGCTATTGAAGTTGATACTGTCTCATCTGAAGATGCTATTGAAGTTGATACTGTCTCAGTCGAAGATGCTATTGAAGTTGATACTGTTTCAGCTGAAGATGCTATTGAAGTTGATACTATCTCAGCTGAAGATGTTATTGAAGTTGATACTGTCTCAGCTGAAGATGCTATTGAAGTTGATACTGTCTCAGCTGAAGATACTATTGAAGTTGATACTGTCTCAGCTGAAGATACTATTGAAGTTGATACTGTCTCAGCTGAAGATACTATTGAAGTTGATACTGTCTCAGCTGAAGTTGATATTGTTTCAGCTGAAGATGCTATTGAAGTTGATACTGTCTCAGCTGAAGATGTTATTGAAGTTGATACTGTCTCAGCTGAAGATGCTATTGAAGTTGATACTGTCTCAGCTGAAGATAATATTGAAGTTGATACTGTCTCAGCTGAAGATGTTATTAAGGTTGATACTGTCTCAGCTGAAGATGTTATTAAGGTTGATACTGTCTCAGCTGAAGATGTTATTAAGGTTGATACTGTCTCATCTGAAGATGTTATTAAGGTTGATACTGTCTCAGCTGAAGATGTTATTAAGGTTGATACTGTCTCAGCTGAAGATGTTATTAAGGTTGATACTGTCTCAGTTGAAGATGTTATTAAGGTTGATACTGCCTCAGCTGAAGATGCTATTGAAGTTGATACTGTCTCAGCTGAAGATGTTATTAAGGTTGATACTGTCTCAGCTGAAGATGCTATTGAAGTTGATACTGTCTCAGCTGAAGATGTTATTAAGGTCGATACTGTCTCAGCTGTAGATGCTATTGAAGTTGATACTGTCTCAGCTGAAGATGTTATTAAGGTTGATACTGCCTCAGCTGAAGATGCTATTGAACTTGATACTGTCTCAGCTGAAGATGTTATTAAGGTTGATACTGTCTCATCTGAAGATGCTATTGAAGTTGATACTGTCTCAGTTGAAGATGCTATTGAAGTTGATACTGCCTCAGCTGTAGATGCTATTGAAGTTAAAACTGTCTCAGCTGAAGATGTTATTGAAGTTGATACTGTTTCAGCTGAAGATACTATTGAAGTTGATACTGTCTCAGCTGTAGATGCTATTGAAGTTGAAACTGTCTCAGCTGAAGATGTTATTGAAGTTGATACTGTCTCAGTTGAAGATACTATTGAAGTTGATACTGTCTCAGCTGAAGATGTTATTGAAGTTGATACTGTCTCAGCTGAAGATACTATTGAAGTTGATACTGTCTCAGCTGAAGATGCTATTGAAGTTGATACTGTCTCAGCTAAAGATACTATTGAAGTTGATACTGTCTCAGCTGAAGATGTTCTTAAGGTTGATACTGTCTCAGCTGAAGATGTTCTTAAGGTTGATACTGTTTCAGCTGAAGATGCTATTGAAGTTGATACTGTCTCAGCTGAGGATGCTATTGAAGTTGATACTGTCTCAGTTGAAGATGTTTTTAAGGTTGATACTGTTTCAGCTGAAGATGCTATTGAAGTTGATACTGTCTCAGCTGAAGATGCTTTTGAAGTTGATAATGCCTCAGCTGAAGATGCTATTGAAGTTGATACTGTCTCAGCTGAAGATGCTATTGAAGTTGATACTGTCTCAGCTGAAGATGCTATTGAAGTTGATACTGTCTCAGCTGAAGATGCTATTGAAGTTGATACTGTCTCAGTTGAAGATGTTATTAAGGTTGATACTGTCTTAGCTGAAGATGTTATTAAGGTTGATACTGTCTCATCTGAAGATGTTATTGAGGTTGATACTGTCTCAGCTGAAGATGTCATTAAGGTTGATACTGTCTCAGCTGAAGATGTTATTAAGGTTGATACTGTCTCAGCTGAAGATGTTATTAAGGTTGATACTGTCTCAGCTGAAGATGTTATTAAGGTTGATACTGTCTCAGCTGAAGATGTTATTAAGGTTGATACTGTCTCAGCTGAAGATGTTATTAAGGTTGATACTGTCTCATCTGAAGATGCTATTGAAGTTGATACTGTCTCAGCTGAAGATGTTATTAAGGTTGATACTGTCTCAGCTGAAGATGCTATTGAAGTTGATACTACTTCAGCTGAAGATGTTATTAAGGTTGATACTGTCTCAGCTGAAGATGTTATTAAGGTTGATACTGTCTCAGCTGAAGATGTTATTAAGGTTGATACTGTCTCAGCTGAAGATGTTATTAAGGTTGATACTGTCTCAGCTGAAGATGCTATTGAAGTTGATACTGTCTCAGTTGAAGATATTATTAAGGTTGATACTGTCTCAGCTGTAGATGCTATTGAAGTTGATACTGTCTCAGCTGAAGATGTTATTAAGGTTGATACTGTTTCAGCTGTAGATGCCATTGAAGTTGATACTGTCTCAGCTGAAGATGTTATTAAGGTTGATACTGTCTCAGCTGAAGATGTTATTGAAGTTGATACAGTCTCAGCTGAAGATGTTGTTAAGGTTGATACTGTCTTAGCTGAAGATGTTATTAAGGTTGATACTGTCTCAGCTGAAGATGTTATTAAGGTTGATACTGTCTCATCTGAAGATGCTATTGAAGTTGATACTGTTTCAGCTGAAGATGCTATTGAAGTTGATACTGTCTCATCTGAAGATGTTATTGAAGTTGATACTGTCTCAGCTGAAGATGCTATTGAAGTTGATACTACTTCAGCTGAAGATGTTATTAAGGTTGATACTGTCTCATCTGAAGATGTTATTAAGGTTGATACTGTCTCAGCTGAAGATGTTATTAAGGTTGATTCTGTCTCAGCTGAAGATGCTATTGAAGTTGATGCTGTCTCAGTTGAAGATGTTATTAAGGTTGATACTGTCTCAGCTGAAGATGCTATTGAAGTTGATGCTGTCTCAACTAAAGATGTTATTAAGGTTGATACTGTCTCAGCTGAAGATGTTATTGAAGTTGATGCTGTCTCAGTTGAAGATGTTATTAAGGTTGATACTGTCTCAGCTGTAGATGCTATTGAAGTTGATACTGTCTCAGCTGAAGATGTTATTAAGGTTGATACTGTCTCAGCTGAAGATGCTATTGAATTTGATACTGTCTCAGCTGAAGATGTTATTAAGGTTGATACTCTCTCATCTGAAGATGCTATTGAAGTTGATACTGTCTCAGCTGAAGATGCTATTGAAGTTGATACTGTCTCAGCTGAAGATGTTATTAAGGTTGATACTGTCTCATCTGAAGGTGCTATTGAAGCTGATACTGTCTCAGCTGAAGATGCTATTGAAGTTGATACTGTTTCAGCTGAAGATGCTATTGAAGTTGATACTATCTCAGCTGAAGATACTATTGAAGTTGATACTGTCTCAGCTGAAGATGTTATTAAGGTTGATACTGTCTCATCTGAAGATGCTATTGAAGTTGATACTGTCTCAGCTGAAGATGCTATTGAAGTTGATACTGTCTCAGTTGAAGATGCTATTGAAGTTGATACTGTCTCAGTTGAAGATGTTATTAAGGTTGATACTGTCTCAGCTGAAGATGCCATTGAAGTTGATACTACTTCAGCTGAAGATGTTATTAAGGTTGATACTGTCTCAGCTGAAGATGTTATTGAAGTTGATGCTGTCTCAGTTGAAGATGTTATTAAGGTTGATACTGTCTCAGCTGAAGATGCTATTGAAGTTGATGCTGTCTCAGTTGAAGATGTTATTAAGGTTGATACTGTCTCAGCTGTAGATGCTATAGAAGTTGATACTGTCTCAGCTGAAGATGTTATTAAGGTTGATACTGTCTCAGCTGTAGATGCTATTGAAGTTGGTACTGTCTCAGCTGAAGATGCTATTGAAGTTGATACTGTCTCAGCTGAAGATGTTATTAAGGTTGATACTGTCTCAGCTGTAGATGCTATTGAAGTTGATACTGTCTCAGCTGAAGATGTTATTAAGGTTGATACTGTCTCAGCTGTAGATGCTATTGAAGTTGATACTGTCTCAGCTGAAGATGCTATTGAAGTTGATACTGTCTCAGCTGAAGATGTTATTAAGGTTGATACTGTCTCAGCTGAAGATGTTATTAAGGTTGATACTGTCTCAGCTGAAGATGTTATTAAGGTTGATACTGTCTCAGCTGAAGATGTTATTAAGGTTGATACTGTCTCAGCTGAAGATGTTATTAAGGTTGATACTGTCTCAGCTGAAGATGTTATTAAGGTTGATACTGTCTCAGCTGAAGATGTTATTAAAGTTGATACTACATCAGCTGAAGATGTTATTAAGGTTGATACTACTTCAGCTGAAGATGTTATTAAGGTTGATACTACTTCAGCTGAAGATGTTATTAAGGTTGATACTACTTCAGCTGAAGATGTTATTAAGGTTGATACTGTCTCAGCTGTAGATGCTATTGAAGTTGATACTGTCTCAGCTGAAGATGCTATTGAAGTTGATACTGTTTCAGCTGAAGATGCTATTGAAGTTGATACTGTTTCAGCTGAAGATGCTATCGAAGTTGATACTGTCTCAGCTGAAGATGCTATTGAAGTTGATACTGTCTCAGCTGAAGATGCTATTGAAGTTGATACTGTTTCAGCTGAAGATGCTATTGAAGTTGATACTGTCTCAGCTGAAGATGTTATTAAGGTTGATACTGTCTCAGCTGTAGATGCTATTGAAGTTGATACTGTTTCAGCTGTAGATGCTATTGAAGTTGATGCAGTCTCAGCTGAAGATGCTATTGAAGTTGATACTGTCTCAGTTGAAGATGCTATTGAAGTTGATACTGTCTCAGCTGAAGATGTTATTAAGGTTGATACTGTCTCAGCTGAAGATGCTATTGAAGTTGATACTGTCTCATCTGAAGATGCTATTGAAGTTGATACTGTTTCAGCTGAAGATGCTATTGAAGTTGATACTGTTTCAGCTGAAGATGCTATTGAAGTTGATACTGTCTCAGCTGAAGATGCTATTGAAGTTGATACTGTCTCAGCTGAAGATGCTATTGAAGTTGATACTGTCTCAGCTGAAGATGCTATTGAAGTTGATACTGTCTCAGCTGAAGATGTTATTAAGGTTGATATTGTCTCAGCTAAAG